CTGCAGTGTCAGCCACTGCCAGGGACCTGCCACCACTGCAGGGTCTCCCCCTACACCAGGCACTGCCACCACTGCCACTCAGACCCTGTCCTCCATTCCTCAGCCCAACACTACTCTGACTGTAACCAGGACTCACTCAGCTCCCACCACAGTCCCTCTTGTTACATCCTCTGGCAGTAGTTCCCCACATGTTTCTAATGTCAAGGAAACTAGCATCCCAGGAAAGACCTCTATCCATACAACAGTCAACATCCTGCCTACAACATTACAGTCTTCGACTCCTGCCTTGACAACAAAACAAACTTCCTCAACTGAAATCTGGACAACAATACTTACTGGTACAGCTGGTACTGTCTCCTCAAAACCCCCACCCACGAGCCTGGGGTTGACTACAGGCATAAAAGAACTGTCTACCAGTCCACCAAGGACACAGACACTACCAGTCACTGCGACTAATGCCACCACCAGCCAGGGCACAACCCACTGCCAGCCCAAGTGTAAGTGGACTGAATGGTTTGATGTGGACTCACCAACCTCAGGAGAAGTAAGAGGGGACATGGAGACCTATGAAAACATCAGAGCTTCTGGTAAGAAGATATGCCAGACACCAGAGAAGATTGAGTGTCAGGCAGAGAACTACCCTGCAGTGAGCATTGATAAGATTGGCCAAGTAGTAAGCTGCAGCCTGGAGACAGGACTGGTCTGTAGAAATGAGGACCAGACAGATGATTTCAAAATGTGCTTCAACTATAATATACGTGTGCTTTGCTGTGATGATTATAGTGACTGCCCTACCACAACTGCTGTACCACCTACATCCACCATGAACAGCCCTAAAGTCAGCAGTGAGGTCTCCACCATGGCCACCAGTTCATCAGCAACACAAGGACACTCCACCAAAGCTACCACCTCCTTGAAGACTGAACAAAGCATAATGACGAATACTATCCACACAGAATCTGCACCTTCCACACAGTCAGTCAGCAGCCCCGGGACCTCCACCACCTGCCAACCCCGATGCCAGTGGACAAAGTGGTTCGATACAGACTACCCCACTTCTGACAGAGAAGGAGGGGACATTGAGACATATGACAGGATCAGAGCCACTGGGGCAGATATCTGTGAACAGCCTCAGGACATCCAGTGTGTGGCCCAGAACTACCC